TGAGAAAACTATGCTATAGAAACTTGATGAAATTTAGGAAAATTCTTGAGTTTGTTGATTTTATCCGACTGTTGACAGTTCCAGCATGTTCCCTCCACGCTTTACTTATTCTTGCGTTTACGCATTCCCCCAAGCATGCGACAGAAAGCGGGATAATCAATCATGGGCGGCTCCTCGAGGGTTTTGGGCTTGGCCATGGGTGCATGGCTGAGCGCCTCCTTTGCCTCGCTGATGGTCATTTTATCTCCGTAGTTGGTTAGCTCCTCGTAGATTCTATTGGATGGGAAAGTGTTTTAGTTAGGCCCACGACATGGACATTTGCAGCACTGCACCCACTTTCTCTCATCGATCATGCCCGTGCCGTGATCGTCCCATTTGCTCCAGGCCTCCAGCAGAACCTCTTCCGGATCCAGCTCTATGGTGCGGCGGCACATCAGCTGGACGAACGCCTCATAGTCCAAGGGCTCCTGAGCCTCCGACATCATTTGCTCCAGCAGCTGCTCGTTGGGCTCATTGCCGAGGGCCGTGTACGTGAATCGCAAATCATCTTTCGATATCAGCCCGTCACAGTCCGTGTCGAAGAGCGTGAACACCTTTTGAAAAGCGTCCGATCAGGCATATTTGGAGCTTGCCAGCCAACCAACACTTACTTCCTTCAATTCCGCCAGCTTGGCAATGTCCAAATCCTGCGGCGACACATGATCATCGGCTGTCAGCTCCTCGGGCAGTGTGTAATGGCCAGTGCTCTCTGGCAGCTTGAGCCTGGGATTGAATATCTCGTTGATGACGGCCATTGCCTCCGAGTCAGTTGCCAGCTGCGGCGGTGGCTGTGGCGTCTGCGATGCTTTGCGCGCTGAGCTGGCCCGGCGACGTCGCTGGCCAGAGATGAGGGTACATGGATACTAGAAATCATGGCGTACACTACATTATATTCACTCACGCGTTCCAGATCCTCCAGTGAAACAGCCGGATCCATAGACATTTTGAACTGCGCGATTCACAAACTTTTCACAAACGATTTACAAGCGAATTACACGCGATTTGCGAGCGTTTTGCCAGCGATTTTCACTATTTTTACACCAATAAATCTGGTCGCCACGACAGCGGCCAACGTTGTGTCCAACGCTCTGCCCAAGCTCCACTGAAATTTGTGGCGCCGGTGCTGAGCAATTTTATTGACAAATCGATTTCGAAATTTGTTTAATAATTTCTTCCTCTTGCTTTTTATTTTCATGGGTTATTTTAATGCAGCTAAAATAGCTGCAAATTTCATAAAAATTGACACAAATTTGCGAACATTTATATAAATAACCAGGCGTGCCGAGCACGGCTCCACGGACCCCCCAGCCATGGTGGCCTTCAGAAGGTATTTTAATTACATTGCATTCGCATATTTCCTCGATGGTCGACGCATCGTGATGGCTGTCGCACAGCTGCCTATATGGCTGACAGATCCAGATCTCTGATCGATTTGGATACGGCATGCCACGGCTACAGTGGGTGGCAGCCGACGGACGACAGCGACTGTACGGCTGGCTTACTACGGCCGGAAGCATTGCTACTCACCCGGGTCGCAGCTGCAGCTGCTGCAGCTGAAAGGCCACCAGCTCGTCGGCCATGCCGCCAATGAAGATCATCAGGCAGTTGTTTTTGGCGCCCAGCGCATGGCTGGCATTAATGCTAACGTTGCCCCATTGTGTGGCGTTCCGCTCGTTGGCGTGCAGGCAGCTGCAATCTGTGCATGGACACTCATCAATAATGCATTCGAATGCAGCCCTACGTCGATGCGACTTACCCAGCCACAGCTGCGCCTGCTTATTGCCAGCAACCCGTTGACCATTGACCACCGAAATCAGTGCCAACACCAAAGTTAACCAAGCGGCCGCCATCTCCAGCGGCCAAAACGAGACTGCTATGTGCCGAGTGCCGAGCATCGCGATAATAACCTGTCAGTGGCTCAGCGTCCTGCGGCAGCTTGTGTGAGCTTTAAAAATAGCCAGGCGCCACCCCAGCTGCACAGCTTCCCAGCTGCCCCCTAGCCCCTGGCCCCGCTGGCCAGTTAACCTGCCTTTTTTCGTATCATTAAATTTAAGTTGAGGTTTTTATGAAGCTGCCCCACCCACAGCTGCAGGTGGCGCGAGAGCCAACCGTTAGTTTCTGCCACAGCCCACGCCTGTGGCACTTCCAGCCGAGTTTGGTAAGCTATTTATAAGTGGATTTGATTTTTCTGTGATTGGCAGTTATCTGCCAACTCACAACTGATTTTCAAATGAGTTCTAAGCCATTTTAGAATTTAGCTTAACTCAATTTAGTTTGATGTGGCATATCAAACGATAAAATTAAATTCTATGATAATAGACTTCATCTATCTATATATCTATATCTATATCTATATCTATATCTATATCTATATCTATATCTAT